CTATAGATATAATTTATATATTAGAACTTAATTTCAATCCTTCATGGATTCCGATCCTTAGCTATGATAATAATAATAATAATAATAATAATAATAATAATAATCATAATTTTACATTCTCATTGTTCAAAGTATGATACAACGTTTCAAAGTTTAAAGTAACAAATGTTCAATTTTGCTTTTTTTTTTTTTTTTTTTTTTTTTTAAGCATTTCACCCCAAGCAAGGCGGGGAGCCACTAGGACGCAAGGGGTTGCAGAAAATAGGAAGATCAGATAGGAGTGATAGAAGAAAGGATGAGGGTAGTAGATAGATTAAGGCAACTGGAGATGTCGATTGACATTACACTTGAATAGCTGGAGATTATAACTCTCAGGAAACAGGAGAAGGGAAGAGTTCCACAGGCGAGAGGTGCGAGACATGAAGCTATTAGAGTAGAAGAGACGGCTACATTTATGAGTTTCGACAGTGAAGGGGTGAGAGCGGGATGCCAGCCTCGTAGGGCGCTTGAACTCATGAAGTTTGGGAACCAGCGAATGCAGTTCCTCGGAGCAATTTCCATGAAAGTATTTGTAGAACAGACAGAGGGAGGCGACGCTGCGTCTGTGAGAAAGTGACTGTAGACGAGACGCCAGGGTAGGGCCAACCATATTACATACCCGCTTCTGGAGCCTATCAAGAACCCCGAGGCAAACAGAAGGGGCGCCAGACCATATATGGCAGCAATACTCCATGCAAGGGCGAATTGTGGATTTGTATATCTGGAGGATCGACTCAGGGGAGAAAAACTTCCCTAGCACGGCTCAGGGGCCAACTTTCCTCGCAGTGGACGAGGCAATTGACTCGATGTATTTATTCCATCTCAGGTCAGCAGTCAACGTGAGACCGAGAAGCCGCAGAGAGTTGCTCTCGGGAAGTTGAGCGTCAGACATTATAATGGAGGGAAGGGAAGGCTCTCTGTGGTGATTAATAGAGAGCAGTTTAGTCTTCGAAGCGTTGAAGTTAACCAGCCAAATCATGCCCCAGTTCACAATCGATTGGAGGTCCTTTTCGAGGCGCACGGCAAGGTGAGTTTTGTCAGCGAGACTGGATTTGTTTTTGAGGCAGGAATAAATTGTGGTGTCATCCGCGTAGATGTCGACTTGAGAAGTTACGGCGTCAGGAAGGTCATTTATATAGATAAGGAATAGAGTGGGGCCTAGGATGGAGCCTTGAGGAACACCTGCGTTCGTGGGGTAGGAACTGGAGGAGAATCCGTTGTGAACGACCTTCAATTCACGGTTTGACAGGAATGATTGTATTACGTTATATAATTGACCTGTAATGCCATAACCCTGGATCTTGCGGAGAAGGCCGGCGTGCCAAACCCTATCAAATGCTTTGGAGATATCTAGTGCCACGGCTCGGGCTTCCCCGTTATTTTGGAGAGTTCGGTAGACTGTTTCCGTGATGGCTGTGAGCACATCGGCTGTAGATCTGGCAAAGCGGAAACCATATTGCTTGTCTGAGAGCAGATTATTGGATGTGAGGTGGTTAACCACCCGGTATTGATTAGAGCTTCGAAGATTTTGCCGAAGAGGGAAGGAGACTGATGGGACGGTAGTTGGAAGGGTCAGAGGGGTCGCCGGGTTCTTGAAGACAGGAACGATCGAAGAGGACTTCCAGCAGTCAGGAAAACAAGATTCCTTGAGGCAGTAGTTGTATAGTTTCGAAAGGGCGGGCGCCAGTTCAGGCGCGCATTTCTTTAAGACAATGGCTGGTATCCCATCTCCACCACTCGCCTTGTTGGGATCTAAATTGGAGATAACGCCAGTACCAAGGTTGGGGTTATGTTTAACCCACTCAATATGGCCTCAGTTCTAAGAGGAAAGTCGGGTATGGGTACACCAGAAGAGTCGAGCGTCGAGTTGGATGAAAATTTCCGAGCAAAGCATTCAGCCTTGTCGGTTAAGTTTTAACTTAGTATAAGTCCCATTGTTTATTCTAAGAAGAAATTGAAAATACGGTTACCCGGATTTATTATCACATCCAGTAGAAGACATTCAATTTTCCATTTTTCTAGTTTTTTACTTTGTTAACATTTCGGATCGGGATTCCTTACTAAATTATCAAATAAGTAGCATCATTGGGACAAAATGCCTTTCGGTAGGGAGGGAGGGGGAGGGAAAAATAAAAAATTTAAAAAACGGAAAAAAAAAAAAAAAAAAAAAATGAAAAATGTAAATGCAGTCAGCTAGAGCGAAACGATACTCACATGGGCCAACAAGTGGGTGACTGCCTACATCGTCATGATGATGGTGACTGAATATACGGCTTTACCTTGTGTCCAAGCGTCGACCTGGTGGGGGGGAGGAATCATCGGCCAATCCTCGGCCCCCACCAAGTACTGGGCTAGGGAGATATGCTTTCAATAAGATTTCAAAAGAGGAGATAGAATGGCGAAAAACAATTCCACTTTCAGACAATATATCAAGCAAAAAGATACAGTCACAACATCGTTAGGATACTGACGAGACACCCTCGCATCTAGTCAAAGACATTCAATTTTCCATTTTTCTAGTTTTTTACTTTGTTAACATTTCGGACCGGGATTCCTTACTAAGTTATCAAATAAGTAGCATCATTGGGACAAAATGCCTTTCAGTAGGGAGGAGGGGGGGAAAAAAATTTAAAAAAAAAAAAAAAAAAAAAAAAATTAAAAATGTAAATGCAAGACAATTTTGCTGTTACACCTGGTATATATATATATATATATATATATATATATATATATATATATATATATATATTGAGGAAATTTTAAGACAAAATAGAAAAAAGGGTATTTGTCTTTCAATTGCCTCAATATTGTTCTTGATATATCAAAATATATATCGTTATCTCATTTTGTAACACTAGGTTTCACACTTTTGTGACCCTCAGACAAACTCTCTCTCTCTCTCTTTAGATATATATATATATATATATATATATATATATATATATATATATATATATTCATTATTGAAAGCAATACAAGTAAATTTTTAACATACAGAAAATAAATATTTTCAAATTAAGCTTTTTAAATTTCAAAATTGATTTGACATTTTTTTGAATAAGCACATTATCATGTAGAGACATTATTTATTACATTAATGTGTTTTCTAAAACAGACAAATAAAAACAAATATAATATAGTAAGTATCGTTCAATTTTAATATTATTCCTATTATTTGTCGTTAATTTTTTATTGCTCAATAAGCCATTTAATCTTTTTAGAAAACACGCAGCATTTTGGCATTGTTCACATTCAATCATAACTGAATATTACGAAGATTAATTACCAGAGTAATTAGATAAAAATAAATGAAAGATTTTTCCCATAAAAAAAAAATGAAGGAGAAATAAAGCCATGAATGGTCTATTTTTATTGATGATTAACAAAAACAAAATGGCTGACTCGACAAAAAAGGAAGAAATAAGAACGAGAACAAAATGGCGTGGTTCGTATTTTAAAAAATAATTAAGAAATTTAAATGAAAAATGATTCACTTGAAAAAATTAAACAATAATTCACATTTAATTGTTTCTGAATTTAAATGACGCTAGGGGGAAAATAAAATAGATTTTTATTAACATTAGAACACGTTTATGCAAGTACGAGCGATCTCGGATTATGAAATGTACAGGTCCATATAATTTTATATTCATGTATTCATTTTAAAAAGATATGTACACATCAGCATTTTTACATGCAATCTAGCATGTATTTTCAGTATGACACACTCAAATACTAAACATTAAACACAAACACACTGATACATCTATCTACAATCACGCATGCCCTTATATATCGTTTAACATTTTCTATATGTATGAAGGATGAGTGCTCAATATAGGAGATAAAAAGTTTGTTGATATAGTCAGTGTGGTTATAGGAATCAGCTCTGTATAGTGAAAGTCACTTTCACAGCTCAAGTGGTCATCAGATCATGTGACACGCGATAGACTGAGGATCCTTTGAAGCGTAAAGCTGAGAAACACCATGCGATGTTGATTCCTATATCAATACATTCTCCCCCTTTCTCTCTCGCACGCGCGCGCGCACACACACACACACACCACACACAACACAACACACACACACACACAACACACACACACACACACACAGAAATATACACATGCATATGTATTTACGGCTATATCACTTAAACTTAAACGCCAAAACTGGTCAGTACCTAGAGGGGTATACCAGGTGCTGTAAGCTTGCATATGTGGCTAGTGTAATGGATAAAGGCTAAAAATCAAAGAACCGAGGTTCAATTCCAGTTGGGGTTGTTGTATTCACTGATGTGCAAATACCCTTGGGAAAGGTATGAATCCAGCTCTTCTTCTCACAGTCACGGGTTATTTAGTAAAACTAGTATTACTACGCATTTAATATACCCACACCCAACCAAAAATTCATACAATCTAAAAATATCTGTCTATATTTCTGAGATAGGGTGTTATGTACATTATTTACATTATTCGGACAATTGTCCTCATCTTTTTCGCCATGTTTATCACAAGGTTTCGGCCGTTGTACGCTCCGGCCTTCTTCAGATGGTTGGAATGTCAAACTGAAACCTTTATTTCGTTCGCTGGGGTAGACTGTTCTAGTTCCACGTGCCATGTCTAATGGATGTTATTTATCAGTTATCTCCTGTTAATTCACACTCTTTGTTTCCTATCACTGGATTTAACTAACGCCTTGATCCACTGTGCCATGTGTCCTTGTGGATCTAGAACGGTTTACCCCAGCGAGCGAAATAAAGGGTTCAGTTTGACATTCCAACCACCTGAAGAAGGCCGAAACGTTGTGATAAATATGGTAACACAGATGAGGACCATAGTCTGAATAATGTAAATATTGAATCGAAAATATTTTAAATAACCTGCAAAGGGGTGATAAACTGTAAAACACAAATCAATCTGTTTTATGTTTAATTAATCGATTTAATTTCATTGAAACACGTTGAAACACCGGTTCCCCTACGATAACCGAAGTTAAGTAACGTTGAGCATGGACAATACGTTGATGGGTGACCGTTTGGGCATACCAGGTGGCTGTCAGCTTGGATGTGCGTTATAATCGGCTACGCGCAAATAACCTTGGCAAAAGTATGAATTCACATCTTCTCCCCCAGCTATGGATTAATTAGACTTTCATGACTATATCATTATTATCTAAAAATAAAATTTATAATGTAAAAATATTTTCTATCTTTAAATAACCTGGAAATGTTGATAATGTTGTTCAATCAATGTGCATATAGTCAAAACACATGACATTGGATCTAGACATATGGTTCAGTTGTCAATATTTCGGCCTCTCGCGTGGTACGACGTCATAGAACCGCATCACAACTTTACAACCTACGTGTACTATTCCGCGACCGTTATCATCGAATAGCAATCTTCTATGTCAACAGAATATCATCTTTGATGGTGAATATTTTTGTTAAAATGTCCATATAAACACTCTGAAGATGGCTCCGAATAGCATAAAAATAATATGTCTAAATGTTGAAAAGTTTTTGTCTTTATTTTTCCCGAAATTAAAGCAACTAAACGAAGCTTAGAACGGCTCATGATACAATATAATAGACTCGTTGTCTGTTATATTTAACAATATGTTCGAATCTATCTATCTATCTATCTATCTATCTATCTATCTATCTATATATATATATATATATATATATATATAGAGAGAGAGAGAGAGAGAGAGAGAAAGAGAGAGATAAAATTACATCTAATAGGAATTAAGATTACTTCTGGTAATAGCCATGAGAGCAAACAATTTTACAGCTGTAGAATTGCTTGGTCTGATGAGACTAGGTCTATTTGATCTTGCGAAATAAATTATTACCATGGGTTTCTAAAGTCCCCTTTCATCTTTATATATATATATATATATATATATATATATATATATATATATATATATATATATATATGTACGTCTAAAATATCTACATATTCAGTTAAACAAAAAGAAAACATCCTTCATAACAGCTAAAGGATTAACTGAAAGTGTTTAAATCCACAGATCATTTGGACAGAATGTACATACTCCATATTCAGAAAAGAAATCTCTTGTGCGGATGTAAGAAACTTGTATTTATTTAACAGTAGACGCAACTTTATTTTAACACCCATAAGCAAATGTTTCTCCATGTCATACATGACACATTATACAGTGAAAATTTCAGGTCAAAATGAGAATGCTGCAGATTTATTGATTAACTCTCCTGTAAATTGTGCATTATATTTTATAGCATCTATATGCCTAAGCCTACTCACCCATGCAGCTATACTCATAAATTATTTACATATGAACATAAGTCATATGCAAACATACTTTCTTTTATAATTTATTATATACTTTGAAAAGTTCAATTTAGACATATTTTAAATTGTTTAAGAGGCATGCTGGAGTAATGGATAGCGGCTCGGATTGGGGAATCCGGAGTGCTGAGCTCGAATCCCAGTCGGAATCATTACATTCTCTTACCTGCTAATACACTTGGGAAAGGTGTGTAACCTCTTCCTCTCTCCCCAGCTATGGGTAAATAGCAGGACAAATTTGGTTCATGGGTGGCAACCAGTCTCTGAATTCGAAACTCACCTGGAGAGGGTTAGGCTATCTTGCCCAAGACGCACCACTTCAACATGTGGTGCCCTTACATCCCTTATGGGTCACAGTATTCGCGCGCGAGAAATTGTTTAGTCTTTGAAGTAATTATTCTTTTTTTGCAGGTTGGTTCGCAAATGGCACCCTGTGTCAAAAGAAGCTAATTATAGATACTCTGTAACTTTTCTATACTGAATGTGTATCTCCATTCCTCAATCAGAGTCTGGCACAGGAGGACGGTTGAAACAGATCGAGGATGAATCGAACTTATTGCCAACGGCTTTTGAAAAGAATACCAACCTCCGATGGTTCTTGTTCTGTTGGTAATAAGTTTGATTCCTCCTGGATCTGTTTCAGTCACACTCCTGTGCCAGACGAGACAATGTTTAGTAAACATCTACTTGCTAACAATGTTTCTAAGGCCAGCTGCACTCTCCTAGATATCTAGCCATATTAATGTAGGCCATCGCACGCGGCTATCTTTAAAAAAAAAAAAACAACGCAGTGTCGCTGACACAGGCATTCTCCTGTGTGCAATTTCTGTTTGACAGACTATTCAAATAACCGCCTGTTATCTAATAATAAAGGACATCTCATAAATTGTAAGACAAACATGTGCTCAATTTTAAAAATCTCATTTTGCACATAAAACATCTGTAATAATTAATTTAAAAAATCATTATCAAATTAATAATATCAATATCGTTTAAATTTTTAAATTTAAACTATGCCAAGATGACAGTCCACAGATGAAGTGGCCATGCTTGTGGTGCACAGACATAACTAATAATATGGCTTACGGCCATACAACGTTGAAATACCGTTTTTTCGCACGATCATCGAAGTTAAGCAATGTTGTGTCTGGTCAGTACGTAGATGATTGACTGCTTGAGAATACTAGTTGCTGTAAGCTTGGATTGCATATCGAAGCTTACTGTAGTATAATCGATAATGGCTCGAAATTGTTAATTCGAGTGCAGTGTTCCAATTCCAGTTGGGTTCGTTATATTCACTTAAGCGAAAATATCGTTTGGGAAAAGCTATGAATCTATCTTGTAAGACTTATATCACTAAAATCATTACTATCCAAAAAATTCTTATAGTCTAAAAACACTTTCTGGATTTAAATAACATGCAAAATGTTGATAAACCGTAGAAAAGCAATCAGTCAGTCGATCACTAATATAAAATGCACGCTTTTGGTAGAGCAATAACTAGTAACTTTTTACTCTGTTATTATGGTCTTGTGCCAGACTAACCAGTGGTTACTTAATAATTCAGTACGATCATAGAAAGATTATTAGAAAAATAATGTCGCAAATCGTATAAGCTATAGGGATTTTCCAAGTGTGGCTTAGTTGCGGCACAAGATCGAAAGTATAGGGCACCAACTGAGGATCGAACTCACTACACAGTCGTAATTGTTCTAGCGAGACAAGCTTGCTAACCATTACACCGCCTCGAGGTGCCTAAATAGTATTAGCTATATGAGTAAGATCATTGTTGGATTTTTTTTACAATTTCGAGCAGACTAAAATATTCGTACATTTTAAACCCTATTTTACCTCACTGCGCGCTTAAACTCGTACACGGAATTCTTTCGTGTTGGTCGGCAGTCGCCCTAGAGGTGGTATCTTGAACAAAATTACCCCATGGCACAAAAAGCAAAAAAGCATGGCACAAAGCATGGTACAAAAAAACATGGTACAAAAAGAAAAGATACAAATGTCAAGATCTTCAAATAAAAACTCGTATCAGATAGCTCGTCCCCCGGGTCAACAAGAGCTGCACCCTTCAGAGAAGAAACAGTCTGGGGGGGGGGGTCGAAAAATCTGTCACTGGAACCTTCACCACTATAATCAAATCTCATGTGCTATACATGCGGGTTGGGGACCGCTTGTGAATTCCAAGATTCCCATGAAACTCTAATATTGGAGCCGGCTCAACCCACCTCGGGTGAATGCCGTTACAAGAAGAGAGATGTGAGTTTTACATGCTAGATGAGATTTCAAGAAATTCAAATGTTTCAATACGGAAAAGCGAGAACATCAAGCAGAAATATAAAATTAAAGCAGTAAATAAAATTCCACCAATCAAGGAAATACATAAACAAAAACTGCAATTAAAGGAACAGAACACAAAACGATATGAAAAGCGTTGCAGGTTCTATCGACAAGAGATGCAAGAAGGGACCTCAAGAAATTTTACAGAGAAATTAGAAAAGTAGTTATAGAAGAGAAGAAACCACCATATATTGAGGAGTACAACAATTTTGGGAGAATATCTGAAGCAACTGAAAGGAATATAATCCAATTCAGAATGGATCAAACGAGAACAAGAAAGAATGAAGAATAAACCTGTATAAGAATGGAAAAAATATAACCAGGAATAATGTCAAAAAATCTCCAAAATGCTAATCGTTATCATGTTTTCTTAATTCTGTCTTTTGTTCTTTCTTCTTAATACTCTTTCCCTTTTTTCTCATATTCTGTCATACTCAGTAACCTCTTGCTTATCAGTGGTTTAATTATCTTGCTTGCGGTGAAATGATTAAACAAATAAGGAGATTAGAAATATGAACTCAGAGTTGATTGAATGATGAACGGTTTTGACCAAGTGTAAAATGCTACAAAATCAAAACATTAACCTAAGAAATAATAATATTCTTAAATAACATTGAAAAATCTAGACATTCACATAAATTTTATACATAGCATTCAACTAGTTCAGAAATGTGCCAACAATCATCTGTATATAAAAGATTACATTGAAGAAAAGGTTAGGAAGAATTCTCCAGCAATACTTCAAAGTGCGACAACAGCTAGTGGGTTTGTAAAAGTTGAGAAAGTTATATTTTGTAAATTTCAGGTCGGTAGAGCCGGAGACGTGGAGTTGGGGTCGGAGAGACAAGCAATTAAAGGTCATTGGATTCGGTAAATCTATTCCGACTTCGACTCCATGTAAAATGTTTTAAATTATAGCATTTTTATTTTTATTGTTATTTTTTCTATTGTATATTTAATATTTGCTTTAAAGCAATTCATCTCAACTACTTTTTTAAAGTCATTTTATTTTTTGTAGTTATTTTGTATTTGCAAAACTACATATGTTAAAAAATCTTACATTATAAAAATTTTATTTTTGTTATGTCTTTTACATCCTGTAAAAGATTATATTTCAACTGTTATAAAGTATTTTTTTATTTTTGTTCTGTACTTATTTCATATTTTCAAATATATATATATATATATATATATATATATATATATTTTCTCCCACAACTTCCTTTTATTGTACATTTTTCTGTGTTAATTTTAAATTAAATCTCCCGTTTAAGCCTGAAGATCGGGAGCGAAACCGGTTGCTTCCCCCAGTTTTTAATATGTCTCGTAATATTAAGTTTTATACTTTTATTTCGATCATTAAATTTTGTACCT